TTTGACCAAAGCCAGACTAAAGCATACGGTTAAGGATGTTGGTAGTCAACCCAGCCCTACACACACACTCCCTCCCCTCCAGTTCTTGTAAACTGGGAAAAACACAGTGGTTCTTTGAGTTAGTTTGAGATAATTTACTTGTAAAACAATTTTTTTTCAGGCTAAAAGAATTAAGACGTGCCTTACATAGCCAAATTTATGAGGAGTCCTATCCTTTTTCCCAGGCATGGATCATACGACCTATTTAGAGTCCTCTCTGTGTGTTCAAGTTCTATTTCTTTTAACCCAGTCTCAGCAGGGGGGGTCCTTAAATAACCGCTGTTTCTTGAAGTCAGTTTGGCAGCAGGGCCTCAGTAACTGTAAGCTGGATCGGGGTGGGGGGGGGTGTTGATATGAAGTTGAAGGAAGGATACAGTGCTTCTTCTTGTCTGTTCCTGCAGGATTTCTGTTTAAACTGTCTCATTTAGCGACAGCATGTTGAATCGCTTCCTCACAAAAGAGCAGCATTTAAATATTTATATAGAACATTGCTTTAGCTTAATATAGCCGGGACATTTTTTCCCCTCAGAAAAAAGCTTCTTGTCGAGATGTGGCTGACGACGTTTGATTATACCTGCGTCTCATGTGTCTGTTTGATGGGAGGCTTTTTAAAAGGCTGGAAGCCAAAGGAAGGGGCTGAGTGCCGCGTGGATGCATCCCAAAAACCCCCCCCCCCGAAACCAGAAATATAGTCACATATATATATCGGTAGCTGCTCGGCGGGGGGGCTGACAGCTCCCGCAGCCCGAACATCTTCTCTGATTCCCCCTCCATCATCCCGGCGAACCCCCCCCGGAACGTCTCCCCCGTGGGCCGGCGGGGCGCCGTGACACCGAGCGGCGGCGCTTTGAACTCTGCCTTTCACCCCCTCCCTGCTGCTCCCCTTCCACCCGCCGGTTCAAATAGGGCCGCACGCAAAGTTGTGCTCGCACGCCACCCACGCATCACCTTTGAGAACGCCCCCGCTGCCACACAAAAACACACAGATACACACACACACACAAAGTGGAAGACTACTCTCTTTAAAGCCGAAAATTCCCTGTCAAGACTGGCAGAGCTGAAATTAAACAGAGGATATGATGGAGAGTGAATAGAGGGTGACTGTGACTGTGGAGAGATGACTGGATGAATAATGCACCAGCCTATGATTAATGCATGAGTGTGCATTTGTATTGAGGTATTCCACCGGTTAGCTGTTGTGTAAGAACGGGGAGTCAATTCAGGAGGGGCCAGGCTTTGTCGGAAACATTCAGAATGCTTTCAGAAGCATCGGGAGGGGTTCGGGATTCAGTTTCTCTCAGTTTTTTTTTAAAGCATTCAAACACAATTTGATCTGCAGTGAGATTAATCTTCTGAAGTTGAAAATGCACTGGCTGTGGCTTTTGGGCCAAAACGAGAGGTCTTTACAATCATACCCAGCCCTGTTGCCGTTTATAACCTGCGATGTCTGCGAACTAAACTTAGCCCAGATCTCACAGTGGATGTGTGAAGCCGTTTCCTCTAACTTTGAAGCCGGTCTCTGATTCGCGCTCGTCCTCGGTGCTGACCCGGCTCCGTCCCGCTGTTACGCAACGCTGCTGGGAATAAAGAGGCGTGTGCCGACTCTGTTCAGCAACACTCCACATCAGCTCCGTTCACTTTCACACGGTAAATACACCGAGATGCACCATTGTGCTCAACAGAAACAGCTTGCATGGAAGAGGCGGTGGTTAAGAAGTGGGCAGAGTTTGTTGTTAACTAGTGAACGCCTCGCATCACACTTCAGAAAGCCCAGCAGTGAGAGACGCTTTACACTTGAGCGTCCACTGCTTTTACTGGCTTGTCTTTATTTTAATTAGTTACAGAGAATTAGTTACAGAGGAAAATCTAATTTATTTCAAACCACCTAGCATACAGTAATCCCAACACACACCTTCGAATGAATGAAAATGGAATTAGTCCTCCTTTGAAAAATAACTAGATCATCTTAGATGCTTCATTCGTCCCAAAACCTCCAAATAAGGATTGTGTTTTGGAAACACACGACGCCAAAGGAATTCGCACGAAGACCGGAAAGGCTTTTAAAAGCTCATTTGATTTTAATGCACCAAAGTTGCGGTTTTGTGTGGAAATATTCTGATGTCAGAATGTTTTCCGATGGTTTTCTTCTGGCCCTTTACGGGCCTCCGTGCGTGAGGCCGCCGCGGAGGATGCTGGTGACGGAGTGTCAAAGGGGATGAGTGATGGAGCGGAATGAGATGGAGCTTCAGGCCTAAAGGACCCCGGAGCACCAGGGCGTGGACCAGCAACCCCATTGTCCCCGATCTGGACCCTCCACTTCCTGTCTCTCGGACTCCCCTTGGTGTGCTCTGAAGTGAGTCCCATTTGTAATTGAGAGAGAAGACCCATCAGCGAATCATCTTCATCATCTGAGGAGTCTGCCTCATTGAGCCGCTCTGGAAACCTTATCTGGACGCTTCCTTCTAAAGCTCGACTTCTCAACACCTCATTGGATCGTCCCATAGCTGTTTCCCGGCTCCTCAGCATGGCAATCTCTCTCTCTCTGTCTGTGATCGTTTTTTCTAAATGCTGGACGGCCTTCTTAAATCTTTTCTCCATTTGTTGAAGGTAGGAGTCCAGGCGGGCGCCTCTCTCAAAATGCCGCTGTAGTACCTCACTCTGCCGTCTGAAGCTGCTGGTCAGACGGCAAACGGTGGACGAGACGTGTTTGTCCAGGCTGTCCAGCGTTGCCGTGTCGGTGGGCCCGCCCTGTCTTTCCTCCATCAGCCGGCTCCAGTAGGAGACGCACCTCGCTCTGGATTCTCGCAGCTCCGCCGTGACTTCTCGGGTCAGATTTTCCTCCCGGTGGAGGCTTCCCTTCAGGGCGTATATTTCCTCCCTCCGATTATTACTGTGACGCCACAGGGTGGCATTTCGTGAGGCCAGGAGTTTGTTTTTTTTCTTCTCTTTCTGTATAGACCATTTAAGGCTCCGAAATCTGTGATGCCTGTTGTTTTTCCTCCTTGCTACCATGGCATATCTTGAGTTTTTCTCGTGGAGCTAAATCAAATTGGAATGTCTTAAGAATGGGACTCCACAGAACATCACAATAATGTCATCATCTGTGATGGGTTAAGGGGAATGGCGGGCCTTTCATCTAGAGAATTCTGCTCTGTTTCCATGGAGAAAAAAATATGAAGTTCCATTTTAATGAGTTCAAGTCGGTTCAAATTCAAAACATTCCATCTGAAAGTTTTAAACTGGACTAAAAGTCGCTGATATTTAATCAAAACGAAAGCAAACATATGGTAGCATTGCGTTGAAGTACAAGCGGAAAAGGTCCCTCATTAGCAAAAGAATTTGATTATTTTTCCTTCATTCAGCAGAGAAGAGGTACATTTCTTTCTTTGTTTTATTGGCGTTTACAGGAGTTTACCAGATTATCCCAGATCCCCACCCCACCCACGCTCCACCCAACCACACGAATCCAGTAAAAACAAATGATAAAAACAGAATAAGATGAAATAAAAAAAAGGAATGAAGGAAACACTGCTGAAATATAAATGTAAACACAAAGGTTGTATGTTCTACATATCGGAGCCACAGAACAAGCAGAAAAAGGAAAAACTATCCCAAGTATAAAACATTGGGGCTTTTGTTCACAAACCAAGCTGTCAGACATGGTAATACTATAAGAAAAGACCCCCAGTGTTGGTAGAATTTCTGATCCTCTGACACTGAGACGAGGCTTATTTAAGCAGAAAAAACACTTTTGGGTGTCACATTCGTGTTGGTGCATCACAGCCACGGCTTGCTTCCTTTAAACCTCCCATTTTTTCCACACGTCGCCTCACCCTGGAATGGCTTTAGCAGCTAAAGCGATCCTCCACAGCCTGCAATCAACGGCTGGCCGTCTTTGGGGACTTTTGACCTTAAGCAAGTCCATCAAGCAGCACCATTAATAATGCTCCGCACCTGGTCTTAGTCCAAGCCGAAGCTGCTGTGTCAATACTGTCCCTCGTCCATTAATCCACATTAACATCGCAGGCAGTAAAGGGCAGCTCTGAGCGGAGTATTGATATTATATTAAAGCCCGGGGCTCCCTGGCGTCTGCACGGCGGCAGTCTGCACGGCTTCACACCGCTCGCCCCTCGTCCTCCAGAATTCAGGGTCTGACTCCTCCGTCTCACTCACCGAACGCATGACGTTGTTTTGGTTGTTTTGGTTGTTTTGGTTGTTTTGGTTGTTTTGGTTTTTCTTTAGCTCTTGCGAGGATTTTTTTTTCGTTGTCGGTGAAACCACTTTCAATAGCCAGAATCCCCGGCAGGGAGGATTTAGCGATTTTTAGAAATAAAAAAAATAAAAAATCGACGGCTACTTTCTGATCATCAGTAATCTCGACAGGGGCCGCCCGGTTTGAGCTAAAGACGACCGTATTAACAAATCTGCAGATTAAGGTCGAACGTAGTTACGAAAGAGCAAAAAAGAAGCAATAAAAACCGCGCAGTGTGTCCATCTCCAATATGTCAGAGGGAAGAGGGAGATTGTCATCGGTGCGCGGCAAAGGTCAGGCCTGATTGAATTTCTCCTCGGGCGGAAAAAAGGGCAGGGCCCAAAAAAAGCAAACTCATGCAACGGAGCCTAAAGTCGGAGTGCTCATCCCAACTCAGAGATTAGAGCCTCTCTTACTGCTACCGTGTCCACTCTTGTCACTTTTTTTTGCATCCCGGCGGAGGCGAGGCAGCAGCGGGCGGCTTTGGGTGGGAGAGGGCCGGCCACTGGGGGAGGCTTTTAATTGAACACACTTTTAATTGACAAACACTGGAAGACAGTGACTGGTCATAGCACTGATTGCCCGTCCACGGAGAGCACTTAAAACAAAGGCGACGTCTCTCCTGCCCCCCCTGAGCAGCTGATAAGCTGGACTCCAGCCAGGGGGCTTCTTTCCCGGTCTAAAGTAGGAGGGATAAAAATAATTTCTGCGCACGCCCCGAGCGGCGCGTTAATATATTGATGAACGTAGCATCGACGGATGCTCCATCTGCTCCTTTGTCTCATATTTCTTCAACCCCTCTCCCTCCTCCCTCCTCCTCAGGCAGCCTCCCGGTGAGAGCAGTCGCTGAGCTGCTGGAGCCGGAGACTCTGCAGCTCCTGAAGAACGAGTGCGGAGGCCTCCAGACGCTCCTCAAGAACAACCATCAAGTCTTTAGAGGTAGCTTGTCTCGCACACATCTCTACGTCGTACAGATGGCAATCAGGGATAGGGTGGGGGGGGGGGTAAACTGGATTCTCCTTCTGTATTTCTGCCGGATTTTTTAACTGAAATTGATCCAAAATGATGACAGACTGTGTGAGAGAAAAGAAGATGCAAAGTTCAGTGATTTTCTCAACATCTGGTTTTAATTTATATGAAGCAATCAGATGTTGTGGGGGTATAAATTAAATGATAAAATTAGATTTTCCCCCACTGAGGATGTATGAAGTATTTCTCAACTCAACTTTATTCTATCCTAAGCCGTTTTTTTTCTGTATTCTTTGTTTTAACAAGGGTTTGAAAAAGATCTATTTCAGACGTAATTAATGAAAACACACCCGGGTTTCCCTTTTGTCATGGCACAAAAAACACACTTTTCCAGGATTTTGAAGGGGACACATTTTTATTACTTTGTGTTTCTGCTTTGCTTTTTTATATATTTAAGGAGCATGTGTACAGTTGCCTCTCGAATGTATGCTTTCTGAGATGGAGGCCCGCTCCCCTTTTGTGCATCTTATCAAGTGTGAAAGAACGGAGGGGGAAAAGGGGCCAACAAAGGAGGCAGAAGCAGAGCAAAGAGGAAGACCTAACTTCTGAGCCAAGAAGGCTTGTAGAGGAAAAATACCAGCCATCATATATATAACTGTTTTGAATATATTTAAAAAAAACTGTGTGAAAGAGAGATTAAGAAAATGAAGTCACGGGTTAACACTCTTTGGGTTTCGGAGCGGTTCCCAACCGAGGTGCTTCAGTGTCAAAGGTTAATAAATTAACTGCGTCGTTCAGTTTCTGTTTCCAGACAAAACTGGAAACTTTTCAAATGTAGAAAACCAGAGCAGCCCCACCCGCTTTACTATCTAAAAGATGTAGAGATGTCATGACCGCTTCTTTGTTGCTTTTAAATATTTAATATCAAATTAAAAATCAGAGTATTGTGTGCTCAGACTTATATTGGTTCTTTGGTTCTGTGTTATTAAGTAATTTCCTGCCATTTCTAATAAACTCTTTGCTCCCCTCCTAGCAAAAGAAAAAGGCTGCTCATTCTGTCTGAAAGGGCCTCAGTGGGGGGGTTTGAGGCTCGGCGTCGGTCCATTCTTATCTTTCGTCATCGTGTTGATGTTGAAATCCGCTCTGAGGCTGCTTTTGGTGGAATTGTTTGGGGATGAGCGTCTCACTTTGGCTGATTTTGTTCCCGTCTCTTCCAGTGGAAGCGGGCAGGGTCCACATACGGGACTGGCGGGACAGGAATCCCCGGCGGGCCGCCGGCCGGAGGAAGCCCGTTGCCCCCGGCGCCGTGAAAACCCGGCCCTGCTGGTTCCACACACACCACCCTCAGGGCTGCCCCCTACAGGCCCAACTCTGTGCCTACGCCCACGGAACCCACGACCTCCGACCCTCCACCAGACCCCTGAAGAAGATGAAGAACACTCTGTGTTGACTGTCTCTTTTTTATTTTTTATTACCTCATGTCAACGATCTGATTGGTCGATGTTGAAACGCAGTGACCTGTGCAGAGTTACTGAGGAACTCCATTATTTCTTTTTTTTTTTCTACTCTTCCACCTGAAAATGTAGAGTGAGGGGAGGCAAAAGCCCCACCAGGCGCAGCTTTGTATTTGTTTAAAGTTTATCAGCTCGGTTGCAGCTTTTCTTTCTGTAAAGCACTCAGGAGTATTTTCAACTGCCTCCCCCATAAAAACTTTAAAAGCCTCCGCATGCTTTCAGTGTCGGCGTCTGCCTTTCCCCCCTCACCTCAGACGTGTACTTTGAGGTTCACAGACAGGGCGGCTGATAAAGGCCGGCCCGCGCCTGAACAAAGTAAATGTTAGCGCCATGAATTATTTGTGAGGCGGAGTTGAAGGGGGGAGCTGTGTGTCTCTGACACAGTGGGCCGTCAGCCCGCAGCTCAAATGTCAAAGCCTGCCAGGCCCTCCCAGGGTCTGCGGCAGGGCAGAGAGGAAAGCCGCCTCAGAGGTGTCTTTGTTTCGGGGCCAGAAAATATTCACAGCGGCGGTGGAATGAAGACCAACTTTGAATCTGTCCACCTTTTCTGCTACAGAAAGGCGAAAGAAGATTTTTTTGCACATACGTGTGCATTTTTCACACTGCTTTGCATGTGTTATTTACATGTTTAGTTGAAAACAGTGGAAAAAAAATTATGAGGAAGATGTAAAATGTTTTAATATCTTGAAATATTCTTGCTTAAAATGAAATGCAGCCGATTTTTGCTTGTATCGAAAACCAATAGCTGGGAAAAGAATGCCAGTTACTTAAGAGGCATCAGTTCCATTTAAATGACTTCCGTTAACCAGAATTTTCTTTATTTTTATGTGTCTGGCATTTTCTATACGGCTTCCTATGCAGGCGTCCCAGACTTTTTAATCTAGCAAAGCATCTGACCTGTGAGATTAGGCCAGTAACTCGGGTCATAGGATCAAAAATCATCACGAGCATTTTTGAGCATTCGGATGAAATCAATGACTTTTACATTGTAAAGTTTTACCCTAAAGGAGACGTTGGTCTGTTTTACATCAACCTTGACTCTGTTGTGGAAGGGGGGTTGAAGGCTTGTCATAATTCACCCCACACTGTTCTTTATTCGTTGGCCTTTACCTTCTGTTAGATTGTCTTCTCTGTGAAATGACCATCTTCTCTTGGACTCCCTGCTGGAGGAGATATTCCTTCCCCAGATGTTTAAGTGAAAAAAAAAAGCTTAATGACACAGAGAAACTATGCTGGTCAACTTCATGGGAAAGCCTGTGCTTGAAAGGAAGGAAGAGACGGCATCTAAGTGAGCCATTTTTGGAATAATGGCTAAAAAAATTAAACGACTTGTAATCGCAGGCTATTCGGACCAAAATGACTCAGCTGTGATTGGCCTGAACTGCCGCACAAGACGCGCTGAAAGAGAGTGGGCATAATTTGACAGCTACTACTCGCTTTGCGGAGGCTCTAATGGCCTCTTTAAGTCATTACTCTGTCCTTCAATCCTCTTCCTCCCATCACTGTCATACCTCATGAAAGAAATCAATTTAGGAAAATACTGTTCTCTGCTCCACGTCTGCGAAGGTCATGTGATCCAATCGACCCGCTGTCCCACTTGGTGTTGGCCTCACACCGATGCCCTGAGGAGCAGATCCAAAACACACCCCCCCCCCCCCCACCGCGCAGAACCAACCTCCCAGGCCCTCACATAAACAAAGGCCCGGAGGTCTGCCGCTCACCCATCAGAGGAATGCCTCACCGGGCCAAAAACAACAAAACAACTATTTTCTCAGCGTATTCTGAGCACGGTGGCGTGGTCGTTTACAGGTCAAAGCGCAATCGGGGAGTAAATGCTCCAACCAGACTGCAGAGGTGGAGAGAAAAAAGGGAAATGTCAGAGTTTTGTAAATGATAAAATGTCATCAAATGACAGTGGAACAGTTTTATTGTGACCTGCCGCGTTTCACTCTAAAGCGATCGGGTGTTTAGGACACTCCTCTAGAGCGTGGGATGTAAAGCATAATTTATTCTGACGGCAAAATCCAGATCAAAGGTATTAAGCACACAGAAATAAGATTCAGCAGGAAAAAGAGTGGAGTTGAATGACCTGGATATGTTTGGTGATATAGCAACTCAAACTTGACATCCTGCTGTAAACCTCTAGCAACATCACCCCAACAATCATCCAAGAAATGTTTTTACCTCTGCACAGACTCTCTCACAAGGCCAGTGCCTTAAGCGATAAGGAGAAGAATCCAGACTGATCCCAGAATGAGTTTTTCCACTGAAAATGAAAGAAAGATCTCGCATCTGGCAACATTTTTGCTCGTATTTCCTCCTGATGAGAGCTTAAACTCAAGTATGTCTGATAATATCACAAAGATAAACCGATTGACTGTTTTTTCTCATAATTTTCTCCGTTGTGGCAAAAAGACTTTCCATTTTTGGTCAAATATGCAGTTGAAGCGTTTCCTGGTTCATTACAGATGAGTCGGTCATACCAAGCGGTCATCAGCAGCTCTGTTTAGGATCTCATTCACAGGTGTTTGTTTTCATGTTCACCAAGGGAAAACGTCTGGTCATTAATTTTATGCTCCTGTAGATGAATCAAAAGTCCACAGAAACCTTTCTGAAACATTTAACCCCACCAATGAAGCCTTAAAAAAGTTCTGCAACTGTGTACGGCTCCCAAATCTGCTGCTTCGCATGTTTATTTTTGTCCGATAATGGGGAGAAAATCTCACCCCAATATAGATGAGACATGCCCCCTTCTGCTCCAGTGTTTGGACCATGTCCATCAGCGCTGAGGAGTAAATGAGAGCACGGTGAAAGCAAATGAGAGGAGAAGGGAGCGTTCGGAGACAGAATGACTCCACGTACCTGAAATCTGGGTCAGTCAGAAATGGCTGCTTCTCTTTGCCGAAGCCAACAACTTTCCCTGTGTTTTCCCTCCTGCGTTATTCATCGTGACACCACGGGCCTTCACGAAATGCAGCATCAACAAGACTTTATTTTGGATGAAGAGAAATCTCCCTCAGTCCCTTGATGCTGGCGGCTGTCGCCGAAATGAATTCATTCGGCTGCCTCACAAAACCTTCTATTTGCTCCTCAATTCGATCGCTTTTGAGAATTCTCCGGGGAGACCAGTCGTTTACTTAATAGTGTTGATATCTGTGCATGATCTGTGGAGCAGCAGGATTAGAACACGCTCATTAATTTCCCCCATTACTTCACCACGCTTGCTGCTACGCCTGCCAAGTTTTGACATTTAAAATTCCCAGTAATTTGCTCGACATTGATTGATTCCACGCATTGGTTAATGACAGGAGCTGTAAATGTGGCAGGGAAAAAGATCATGCTTTCCAAAAAAAAAGAAAAAACTTGACAAACTACAATAGCGTTCCTAGTTTCTGGCAGCTGTGAAGCATGGCGTCGGAAGTGTCATGGTTTGAGGTGCATTGCAGCCTGAGAACCTGGATGGCTTTCAGCTTGTTCTTCAGTTGATTTGGCATCTTTAAAAAACAATTGAGAATCATTTGAGGCTGTCTGTCAGAGAACTGAAAGCACATTGGAAAAGGAAATGATCCCAAACACAACAACAACAACAACAATAATATCATAATAATTCCATCAAAGAGTAACTTAGAAGAAATATAAGAAAATGAACAGGCCCAAGCACAAGTCAAGCTTTTAATCCATTATTTTTTGCTGAAAGGGGATTCAATTTTGTTAGGAAATGTAACAAAACCATCAATAAGTAACAGTGAGGACAAACCAACAGTCAAAAATGTTTCCCTGCCTATTGATCAATATTTAATGGTGTTTTTTTTTTCTTGTTCGGGTGTTTTATGATTTCTTTCAGATTAAATCTTGAATGCTGAAACATTTAACCTTTTTATCTTTTTAAACTAAAGACGTACGTTTCCCTGTTGAGGAAGAGAAGTCCAGATGCAGCTAATTTTCTCCCACTGGGACTTTTAGAAGTCAAGGGTGCACTGCCTTATCCAAGTCATTATTCCCAAGATGACAAGCAGGTTATTACAGCAGAAACCCATCTAAAGTTGTCGATGGTGTGCACAGTTAAATGTAACAGGAAATCCTTCTCCACCCACTTCATGCTCATGCCCACTTGGCCTCGTCTTGTCCGTACCTGAGTCACTCAGACTGATGCTGGGAGATGAGAGAGTTCCTCCAGCAGCCTCACTCGCTCCGGCTTTACCCGGACTACCCTCTGCCTCCACACAGGGAGGTGGGAGGAGGACGAGGAGGAGGAGGGAAGGTTTGTTTGAAAATGTTTCCATTTGACATTTCACCATTTAACACGCACTTCATTTGAAATTCAAAAAAGTTGCTCTCGCCGTGGCGTTACCGGAGGAGCGCTGCCAAGCACGGATGGCACCTCTTCTTAACCCAGAGCTGGAAATACCCGGCGCTCACATGGGCTGCGCCGTGGCACCCACCCAAAGCAGTCGATTGTACAAGCTGTTGAAACACGAAATTCCCCTTTCCATATTAGACTGGGTAACTCTTTGCTTGTGCATTATTGAAATGAAGACTATTTTCTAAATGGAGTATTTGAACAGAGCTTTGTGTGAAACAAGCCGAGCATTTCACTCTTCATCCAGTTTAGATCCAATCCAACACTGTTGACTGAAGTGTATTAAGACTTTATGAACAGCTTTGATGGAAATTTTGCAACATATATACATGTGAACAGGTATCTCTCAGTACATTGCCCTCAGTTTGACTGAAAATGATATATTATGGAACCCAGTTCAGAAAAAGTGAGGACAATGTAGAAAATTAGGTAAAAATGGGTGGACATCCGCAAATACTTTTTCTATTTACTTTCATTTCTAAGTTATTACAGAATAAAAGATTTCTGGATTCACCTAATGTTTTGTCTCTTTATTAGCTTTTTTCATACTGCATGAGACCAAAATGAATGGAGTTT